GTCGTCGTCGTCGTCGTCGTCGTCGTCGTCGTCGTCGTCGTCGTCGTCGTCGTCCCCCTTCAGGGTCGAAGGCACCAGTCGTAAGGCCTTCGCAATAATTCTTTCCTGCGCACCCGCAACTGTATTAACTGGGCGTGCCGGTCGTTCCGCCTTAGATTTCCCCACGACTTGAGATCCTGAAACTTGAAGCTGCAACCTTACTCAAGGATGGAGGGCGGGCGTGTTCAAGATGTGGCTCTCGCCCTAGCGCCGCGCGCATTCGTCTTCAAGGTTGGCAGCAATTTTCAAGACGGAGGGCGGACGATTTTCAACATGTGGCTCTCGTCCTGGCGCCGCACGCATTCGTCTTAAAAGTTTGCAGGAGCTTCACGGATGGAGGGCAATTCCTTTTCAACATGTGGCTCTCGATTTAGCGCCGCGCGCATTCGTCTTAAATCAGTGAACCGTTTCATGAGTTCGTATTGTTGAAGCCACAGGGGCGGTGTTCTGGCAAGACTCATGCAACAACTGTCATGTTGATTCGCGAAGATGCTGTTCTGTCACAAGTTAAGAATGCCAAGTCGCAGCAGTCGCGTGGATTCGCGGCGATGAGGTAATGATAACTGCGTTTTGGCACGACTGGGGATTCTCATACGGTTGTCGGACCGTGATGAAAATCATATGTTGTAGGGACCTATCAAGAAGGGGCTTTGAAGGAGGGTTCATTGCAACATCGTTGTTGCGTCTTGGGTTCAGACTGGTCTGCCTCCTCCGTTCCTTATACGTAGATAGCTCCATCCTGTCGCACCCCCACACGTGTCGGTAGGGCGGGCCAGGCATTCCACTTGAGGCTTCCGAACAAATTATGACCCTGAAATCGCAACTTTGCAACAATTCCACGGATGGATGGTGGGTTGTGTTGACATGTTGCTCTCGCGTAAGCGCCGCGCGAATTCTTTGTTAAACTTTACAACTGTTCCAAACATGGGTGAAACAAGTGGTTTTCAAACTGCGGTTCTTGCTTTAGCGCCGCACGCACCCGTTTCAAAAACTCCTGAGCGTCTCAAATAATCGTAAGGTTTACCTCCCGTGGTCCGATCTGGGATTGTCAGGACGGAGCAGTCATGTTGATTTGCCGTGCTGAAGTCCCAGACATGATGTTTTGGCACGATCGGAGATTCGCAGACAGACGGTTGTTTTCCCATTTCCTGCTATCACATGGAGTTCCTGTATGGACCTATCAAGAGGGAGCCTGGAAAACAAGTTCATTGCAACATCGCTGCTGCGTCTTGGGCTTGCACCGGTCCTCCTCCTCCTCCTCCTGCTGCTCCTCCTCCTCCTCCTCCGTGACAGTCCTCCTCCTCCTCCTCCTCCGCTTCCTTCCTCCTGCCCTCTCCTGTCTCTCCCTGCGGGCCTTGGCGAAACACCGGCGTGTCGGCCGCCATGTGCGCCGCGTGCGTGGCCCGGTCGGCCTCGGGCCCCTGGCCCCTGCGGCCCAGGGGAGCCCCTCGCGGCTCCTGCGGCGGCGATCCAGAAGGGCACGGGCGTTGCGTAGTGGGGGGGTGGCGATGAAGTGGAGGGCGACGACACGTGCAGCTTTCGTGCCCCTTTTGGGCCCTAGAGGGCGACCTTCTAGGGCCCCTGAGGTGCACCTGTCTTCGCTCTCCCATTCATCGCCCCACCGCCACGCATCGCCCGATGTGAGGTGGGACGAAGCCAAGACAGGGACAACATCGGAGCGGGATGCGTCGCGGCTCTCTGGGATCCGGCGGCTCTGGAGGATGTATCCGGCGCCGCGGCCTTCTCAGAGCGTTCCAAAACGCTCTGGGCCGACTCAGACCTGTCCTGGCCCTGCCCGAGGAGGGCCCGGGGCTGCCAGGAAGCCGGAGCCAGGCCACCCGACTCCACGCTCACGTCCCGCGGCCCGCGGTGGAGCATCGTTTAACCGACCCTCGTCCCGTGGGCGTGGCGTGAGCTCCGCTGGCCGATTTTACCCCCCCCCCCCCCCCCCCTGAGGTGGGGATGCAAGCCGTTTCCTGCGGGTTTCGCGGGGTTTCTCCCCAAATGGCGGGGGGGGGATGGGGACTGGCGGGGGTCTGGATGGGGATGGGGATGCCCGCGCGGGGCGCAACCGAGCAATCGTCTTGGGGCGAACGCGCGGCGCACGCCCGCGGCGGCCAGCACAAGGTGTTTAGGCAATTTGCGGCCTCTGGGGGCCCTCGCCGGGCCCCGCGGCCGCAGATCAAAAAGCGACTCAAGAGGAAAAACTGGCTCTGGGGAAAGGTCGGGACTTCTCGGGACTTCTGGGGACCGCGCGCTGAACAACAACACGACGTCGCATGTCCGGGGGGCAGCCTCGCGCTCCCCAGGCATCCGATGTCTTGGGCTTCTTCGTGCGGGCTGGCTGCGGACTCCTAGGAGGAGGAGGAGGAGGAGGAGGAGGAGGAGGAGGAGGAGGAGGAGGAAGAGAAGCAAGAGGAGGAGGAGGAGGAGGAGGAGGAGGAGGAGGAGGAGGAGGAGG